CCTGCTGAAACATGTTTTTTTAAACAGTAAATGGACAGCCCGTTACCCGCCAGGTTTCTAGAGGCGGCCGACAGGACACCCACGCGCAGCGACAGCGTGAAAGCCCCAGCTCAATCAAGCGTTTTAGCATCTCTCTCTCACACAAAACCAATTCCTCTTCCATGCTGCCGCCCGGCTGCGGAAGAAAAGCTGGTGGGGGTGGAGGGTCCCTGCCCCGGTCCCCACGGGGCTACGCCGGGCGCTGTTGCCGTCGGTGCCCCAAGGTAACCGGCCTTTCAGCTCAACGCGTCTCGACTGTGGGCCACGACCTGTTCCTGACAAGGCTGGACTCATCAGCCCTCCCCATCGTTTCACTTCACCAATCCGTGACGTTAACGCCTATTGTTTATTTATTTATTTAATTCACCGATAAAGCACATTATCTACAATGATTAATTCTGCATCAAGGAAACAACGCTACTATAAATGGTGGTCTAAGACAACCTAGTGGGAGTTCCTACAGAGTTCACACCCTAAATCCATCTCCCCGTTAGCTGTGAAACACCATCCCTCAGTGTGCTTGGCTTCTTCAAGGAATTCTTCTACAGTCAAGTCCACGGCTCTGTCCCCTCGTGGGGAATAAACAGCGCTTCCGAGCTGAAGAATAATTAATTCACCAGCTTCGAGTGGGGTGGTTTTAAGCCTCAAAAATGAGGATTTGTTATTTCACTTAACTGCAATACAACAGGATTATCTCAGATTGCAAGAGATTCATTCTCTCGGAGTAATCGTGATGGATGAGAGCACTGAATGGAAGCAGGACAGCATAATTAATGTGAGCAATAGGGGTCTATGGAAAGAGAACTTGTCCAATTAATGGAATAATGAATTTCAGCTTGGTCAATAAATGTAATCATTTGGATGCAATATTCTTTGCCTTTCATAAACTATTTGACCTCACACTAACATGGCATTTTGATTAAGGAAAAAAACCCCAACCCAGGATGATACAAAGCCAAGCTGTCACACATCAAACAGGCAAAAACCTAGAAACTGAGAGGTCCCACAGCAACTGCAAAGAGGGAGAGACGGAGACGATGCATTTCCCGTGGCGTTCCACAGGGACCAGTTCTTGGCCTTCTGCAGTCTGGTATCTCGCCAGCAGCCTGAAGAAACTGTAAAAATATCGCTGGTGAAGTTAGGGAGTGGCACAGGCTGGAGGAGCCGGCCACGGGCGCTCCCCGGATGGGGAGTCCCAGACTGCTGGGCTGGCCAGCAAACGGGATGTGGCTAAAGTCGAACTACGCGTCTGGGCACGAGCAGCACCGGCCACGCGTGCACGGGAACTCTGCCGCGGAAGGCTGACGTGGGAGGTGTGAGGGTGGGGGACGCTCAGCCCAACGCCGCTGCGGCCACGGGTCCGCATGAGGCTGGAGGCAGCCCCCCCCCACCACCACTGGCCCCGTGGCAGCGGAGGGGCTGCTGCACCACTGAGCTGGGCCGGGCCACAAGGGACGCAAGGGCTGGAGAAGGAGCAGCGTGGCACCGGGATCGAGGGGCTCGGCCAGCTCGGCTCGGCAGAAGCCCGGGCAGGCGTCCTGGTGACACGCTGCAAGAGATGCTGCTAAGGGAGGGCTCCCTGGCCTGGCCCATCAAGGTATCACAAGGACCCCAGGCTAAGGCTTAGAGTAAGCAAGTTTAGACTACAATGGGATTTTTTTTACAGTGAGGGCAATTAGCTACTGGGAGACTTTATCAGAAGTTGTAACGGGTTCTCCACTACTCATTTGTTAACCTTTATCGTGAGGATGGGATGCTTTCCTAATTGGCCAGCTCTGGTACAAACAGGAATTAATTGAGGGCAATCCTGCAGCCATGAAGACAGGAGAAATGGTCACAAGGGTCCTTTCTGCAATGGTGTGATTTCTTGACGTAACTTCACACCCCTCCGCTTGCCCTCTTTACCTGATAGCTGCTGTTTAAATGGATGTACATCTGTACAGCAACAGGTCTTTGGATGTTGCGGATGTAAATCACGTGTGATCTCAGCGATCATTTGGTGCACGCGCGTCACACTTGCATGCCCGGGCGATCAGGAAAATGCCGGCAGCGGGGAGGTGGAAGGGCTGGGGTCGGCAAGGGAAGCTCCGAGGAGCAGGAGGGAGGAGCAGGAGGGCCCGGCTCCAGCATCCCCGCTGCAGAGGAGCGAGACTGAGCCGCCGTGCTGGGCTGCTCGAGGTCCAGGCGGCGGCGCTCCTGCTGCCCACGTCATCACTTGAAGACGGATGGAAACGTCGGGCAGTCAGGAGACTTCATCTTCTTCATAAACTTCTTGAACTCTTTGTTCTTCTTGTCCCACTTGTAGATGGCCGTCAGCAGGTACTGGGTCTTCACCTGGCGGCCCATGATGAGGAAGTACTGGCCGAGGTTGTCCAGCTGGTGGCAGGGGCAGTCAGCCCCATTCTTCAGGAACAGCACCAGCTTCTTCAGGTTCTTCTTCCGGATGGGCCCCAGCTTCAGCGCCTTCCTCTTCCGTGGGACGATCATCTTGTCCCCATTCTCCTTTTTCACTTCCTTTATGGTCATCTTAAGAGCTGAAAAACAAGCCAGAGAGAGGGGAAAACACAAAACGACCCGCACCCCTCCCGCATCCCCCCGCTCCCCGCCATCGCCCCAGCAATGACTCGGCCCGCTGACCGCAACGCAAAAACCCTCGCGCCTGAAGCGGAGCCATCCCCGTGCCTGGGAGAGCACCAAGGTAAAACACTGATGTCTGTGTTTCCCTTTTCCCCAGCAAAGCACACCAGGCACTTTTTATTTGAGAGGGAGACTTGTTCCGCTGGCGGAACGCTCCTCGCTGGCAAAATGTTAGCTGAGTAAACAAGGTGATTTCCCTGCCCTAGACGCACAGAGAGACTCTTGAAAGGGCCATTTAAAAGGTCAGCTTGGCCTCTCAAGCATTTGTTTGCCATCACTCCCGGCCCTCGGGTGCCTGTGAAACAACCTCCCGAGCACTGAACACCGCTACGTTCGAGCCGTGAAGCCCCCATGGCAAACACCCCGTCCACGGGACCCACGCAGGGGAGGCAGAGCCGCGTGGGGCTGCCACACGCCTGCACCTTCCCCAGGAGAAGGGGAGTCAATCCAATACGACTTCCATGGAAAATATTTTCCTCTTTTGGTTCAGCGTTTTCCCTGAGTTAATCACAACCCAAATAAAAAAAAGAAAAAAATTAATGTTCCTTTGCCACAACCACGAAGAGGAATTTAGTCTACATGGGAAAAATGATGGAAATGTGTTGTACATTAAAGTATCACTGCTGCGCCATTTGGCTCTGCCCCATTTTGGGGGAAAAGCACATATGGCCAAAAATCACTAACATCTTTCCATCATTTGGGAGTTTACTTGAGCGCCGCAGATAAATAGTGCTGGGATAGGTGATTAATTGTCTGCTGTCCCCTCTCCTTCGGCTCGCAGAGTGTGTGCAGCAGGCGGCGTGCAGAGGCCTCTGGCTCTGGCAGGGGCACGAGCCCCCCCAGCACCGTCCCTCGGAGCCTTGCTCTGCTGGAACTTGTGGCCACGAACACACGTTGCTTTCTGGACGGCAGCTCTGCTCACCGTTGCAGGCAGGAATGGCAGAGGACAGCGCGGCGACGCTCCGGAGAGGCAGCAGGGTCTCTGCGTTACCCTCGTGCTCCCCGCCACTGCGCTGGCAGCAGGAGTAACGGTACTTGTCTGCCCACGGGCCAAAAGCGCCTGCTGTGCTCGCCAGGAGCCCTGTCGTGTTACGCTGTTCCTGTGCAAGGAAGCGATCCAGGACTGGAAACCTAAGTGAAATTTTCATTCCATCTGTTTTGCAAATTGAGGATGTTTAAGGAGCTGAAGAGACTCAAGCTTTAAGGAGCTAAAGATGCTGAACCAGATCAATTTGCAACCAATCTGGAAAATGAAGCAAGTCGTTTGCAGGCAGCTCTGAGCTCCATGACATTAATTGGGCAGCGGCAGCAGCATCCCTCAATGTGAACCTCAATTTCTTTATCCATTCCGACTTTGAACCCTTGCACTAAGCACAGCGGTCGCCGGTGCAGAGGAATGGTAAAATACCAGGAATAAGAGACTTTTTCAAAACGGCTTGTTTGCAAATTGCTTTGCTGTGATCACTACAAGTTTAGATCCTTGCTGCTAGAGGAAGAAAACAATCTGGCAGCTAGCCGAGGTGCTGTTCGACTCCAAGCACCATAGGGTGGGGAAGACAGAGAGGGTCTGGCACGGGAGCTCGCAGCCGGTCCCCTCCCGGCACAACAGCAGCTCTCTGTTCGCGAGCCGGCGATGCAGGCTCAGGGAGTGCCCAGGCGAACCGTAAATCCAGACATGACCTAAAAACTCATCCAAACCTCACCTGTGCAAAGCAGCGCACAGAGACAGGATCAGACAGGGCCAGGGAGGAGCAACGAGGAGGCTGGCTGGGGTGCAAGCAGTTTGCGTAGGACTCTGCTCTTCCCAGCACCAGCGCCCTCCTCCTCATCAGCAGGGGGAGTTCGCGGTGCTACCCAGGTAAAAGGCAGCCTGGCTCAAGGACCACCGAGTGCACCACGCAGTCACATGAGGGAAAAAAAACCCCAAAAAACGCATTATAATCACTGCTCAGTCTCCACCCCTCTGGCACTGACCCGGCTCCCCGGCCCCCCTGTGCTCCCCTACTTCGGCCGCGCTCCTTGGGCTCAGACCCGCTTTCCAGGCGAGACTCCTGGGCACGTTCACGGCTGCGGGGCCGGACACGCGGCTCTGGCATTTGCCGCGCACATCGGAAAAGTGGCGCCCGAGGGCACGTTTGGTCCTGGCTGCACACCCAGCTCCGAGAGCACACCACCACGCAGCGGGAGGCAACCCCTTGGCTTGCGGCTTTCCCAAAACATAAAGGATTTGGCAGGGGGACCATCGTGCGACTTGCTGCTGCTGCAGCTTGCCTGGCGTCGCCCCGGCCCCAGGGACACCCCCGTCCCAGCAGCGGGCAGGCAGCGGGGGAAAGGTGCGAGTGGGACGGACGGAATCTTGGCTCCAGGATCCAGCTGAGCTGCCAAAGCAAACAGCTTCCTCCCTGGGAGCCCTGGCCTTTCCGCTCCCCTCAGCCACACCAAATCTGTCTCAGCGCCGCGCGGGAGCAAAGCCGAAATTGCCTCTTAGCCCCCAGGACGTGTTGCTCACACAGACTAAATCTTCAGCCACCGCTGCCAGGAGGGAGCTGACCCCTGGAAGAGACCCGCGGCCGCGGCATCGCCTGCGGCATCAGCCCAGCCCAGCCCACGCCTCATGCTGCAGGGGAAGCACGCCAGCCGCAAGCCCCTCTTCCCCTTCGCTCTCATGTGATGCACACACGTTCCAGCTCCACCTCTTACCAACCCTGTGCTCCCTCACTAAATTGCAATCACACCTCCTCACCTAACACACTCAACACCTTCCACTTTCAGCCAAGCTCCTGTTAACTGAAGCGTCCACCGTGCTCCTGAAGATGCTGGCTGATGCACTTGCACTGAAAGGCCCTCGATCCCCGCGCTGCGACCGCCCGTGGACAGACGGCAGCCTCGGGGCTGCAGGGAGACCACGAACCCTCCTGTGAACGGGAGCAGTGACGGGACCAGGAGCTGACTCCCAGCCAGACCACGAGAGGTGATGGCAGAAGAGCCCCATTCTCTGCCGCCCCAGTAGTGCCGGTGGCTGACCGCAGCCAGGACTACTCTTAAAACCAGGAAAACCCTCTCCAGCCAGGCAGCACCAGATCCAGCGCGGCACGGTGCCAGCACTGCGGCCCCTGGGTGCCGGGGCGGGAGGTGAGCAGCATCCCCAGGGATCCCCAGGGATGCTGCATGCCCCTCTGGGACATCTATGCCCACAGGGACAGGGATGACCCTCCCCACCACGCGGGACTGGCCAAGCGGGAGCCTCTCCCCTCCGCTCCCCTCGGGCATCGAGCGCACCCCGGGGCGGTGCGGCTGACGGTGCTCTGGGCAGAGGGGGAATCCTGCACCGCACAGGGAGAAGTTTTAGTTTTTTGCCATGCATGGTCCCAGGACATCCTCCCCGTGAGTGCTGCCGGTACGTCTGCTTGTGAGCAAGTCATGGCAGAAGACCTCTAGCATGAGCCAGCGTCCAGCCGCCCACTTCAAAAGGTCTTCCCAGAAAACACAGAAGTGAAAGCATTACTCAGGCTGGGAGGGAAAAACCAAAACACAACAAAGGTAGAGTTCAGGATTTAATATGGGACTCAGCAGCTCTCAGCCATGTTGTGTTTCCAACAGCAGAAATCCTCCCAGGGGCTAAACCCACGCTTGCACTTGCTCAGCCCCAGCATCAAGAAGCTGATGTCAGCCCAGCCCGATGCTTTGCCACGGCCAGGACAGACGGCGCTGGAAGCCCAGCACAAGGGATGGACCCTCTCACCAGACCCTGCCCACTGCCACAGCGAGCTGCCAGCACGAGAATCAGACGTAGCTGCACCACCCTCCAACAGCGCAACAGCTCCTGCAAGAGCCTGCGTGCACCAGCCGGCAGCCTCGGCCAGCTTTGCCCCAGCACCCTTCCTCCCGACGCAGCACTGCAGCATCCCCCAGCCCTTCCCTCTCCCACGGCGTCATCCAGCAGGACCACAGCACCAGAGGCCATCAGAGCTGGGAAGAGAAGGCCAGCACGGGCAGCCTCATCCCCTCCAAGGTCCTCCTCTCCTGCGGCCCCAAGCCGCCTCGCACTTCCCTCTGGATTGCTCCAACTCCGGGATGCCCAGGGAGGACACACAAGAGGCACAGCAGCATCTCTGGATGAGCTGCTGCCCCATCAGCAGCCACAGCTCCCATTAGCAGTGGGTCAGCCCCCGGTCTGGGGTGATGCACCCCCATTAGACCAAGCCATGAGTTTGGCCCCAACTACCAACGGCTCGTATCAGACGCCAGCACAGCTCTGCTGTCTCTAATGCAGAGAGAGTAGGAAGCGCTGGAGATATAAAAACGTCTTTTTTTATTTCTACTAATGTGAAACAGGGTATATGAAAGTGTTTGCTCCCTCGGAGTGAAATGCCTCTTGGCAGCGGCAGCTCCGAGAGCAGCGAAGGCCCCGCAGAGCTGGTTGGGGTCCAGCCTGACAAAGCACAACTCGTGTTTCATCAATGCCCCTACAGCTCCAGCTTTCCAGCCCCAACCCCAGCACGGGGAAAGAGGAAGCCCAGTCTCCCAGGCAAACTGGGAGCACTGCACGAGTGCCACCTGAGAGCAAAGC